CCTGCCGTCAGTGGGCATGCTGCGGATCGGCGGGGCGCCCTTTCACTCTCTGCTGGGCTTCCAGGGAACGCTGGGGACCGTTACAGGTGTATCCGCCCCGCTCCTCCTACAAGAGCGCTCTACACCCCCCAGGAGATCTTCCCCGCCTGCACAGCTAGGGACCTGCCTGTGCCATGCGTCTCCTCCTCACCCGGACCTGGTTTCCAAGAGAAAAACGCCCTCCTGCTGGGAACGGCGCACACCTCTTCTCAGCCGCGCTTTGGCACAGCCACCCACAACCTCTCTGCCTCACGTGAAAGGAGTTTAGCTGTAAACAAGCCCTAAGCACAGGCCCGAAAAACCAGACTGGCGGCTTGACTGAACCACCAGCCAAAATGCAGCCGCTTTGGAGAAAGGGGGGACAGTGCGACCGAGCCGGCACTCTCCCCTCAGGGCAGTAGCCCGCATGGAGAAGCTGCTCCTTCCGATATGCCTGTCTCGGCGCTGCAAAGAGCACGGCACACGGGGCTTCTTTGCCAAGCCCCCGGAGCCGCGATCAGAACGTCCAGCTAGCGAGGGGCCCGGTCGACTGGGGAACATGTGACTGGGTCACAATGGTCCATCCAGTCCAGTATCCTGTCCGCTGACAGTGGCCTATACCAGATGTCCCAGAGGGAAGGAACACAACAGGGAATCCTCACATAATCCCTCCGCTATCACCGATTTCCAGACAAACAGGCCAGGGACACCATTCCTACCCAGCCTGGCTAACAGCCATTGATGGACCTAACCTCCATGAATCTAGCTAGCTCTTTTTTGAACCCTGTTTACGTCCTAGCCTTCACCGCATCCTCTGGCAAGGAGTTCCACAGGTCGACTGTGCGCTGAGTGAAGAAAAACTTCCTTTGGTTTGTTTTAAACCTGCTGCCTATTCGTTTTGAACAAGATCAAAAGTCTCAGAGCTGCTGCTTTTGGGAGCAGAACGGTGTATTAGGGCAATGGATGGACCCAACATACAGTGTCCTCCAGAAACTGCAGCTCAAGGGGGCTGGCTGGGAGTAACCTTTGACCCCTGTAAAAAATCAAGCCAGGACTCGACCACTTCGCTGCCTGTTCTACCAGCCCCTTGCTGTTCTACCTTGTCCCGTGTGTCATCTGTGAACGTTCTGCCAGCAGGCCTCTTCAAAAGGCCGTCTAGATACTAGGGATGTAACGCGAACTGGTTAAACGCCATGTTTACATCCTTAACAGACACTCCACCACACAACAGCACACACCCCACACCGCCAAGTAGGTCCTACAGAGAAAGTTTTCTATACTTGAAATACTATTTTTAATCTGCGGTAGCATGGAGCTCTATAGACAGGCCACGTGTCTGTGTGTCTATTTTCTGGGAGGGCCGGGGCTCTCTGGAGCCAAGAGGACGATCCCTATCTGATGACACCAGTTTAAAGGCAGGCTGAATATCTGGGACTTAACCTACTTGGCAGTGCTTTTTAATTACACGCTTGCCAGCCATTCAGGCAGTTGCATGAGAAAATAATTAAAGCCGGGCAATTAAAGGGTGCCTTGAAAAATTAAGTCTGTGTTTGTAGGCAGACACTGAAGTTTCGTGTCTCTGGAACACTGCAGGAGCGTCTGTTTAATAAATGAGGAAACGGAGTCACAGAGAGGTGAAGTGACTTGACCAGGGCTGCACAGTGATTCAGTGGCAGAACAGAACTAGAACCCAGTGTTTCTGTCTCTCTCCTCGCTGTGCCTGCCACGAGAACCATCAGCCACTTTGACTGTTAAGGATACCAGCAAAGAGGAGACTATTTTACAGCTGTCAGATACAGGAAGTCGCTTTACTGCCCCACAGAAAATAAAGGCTGTTAAAATTATACGAAGCCCTGAAGACCTCCTCCCAGCGTGGAGCCCTGTGAGCACTGCTGGACAGCGAGAGAGGGCGATTCCCATAGCGAGTGCTCTCTCAGCTCCTTCTCAGGAACGGACCCAGGACGTGGGTCACCATGTCTATCCCTCCTGGCCTCCAGGGCAGCAATGGGAACCGAGGCTAGTGAGTGGGCGGCGTGGGTGGTCTCCCAGGAGAGGGCAGCTTGGCTAACTGCACCAATGGAAGCCAGCGGAATCGTGGGCAGTGAACACAATGCCTCGTGGGCCCCACACAGAACCCCAAGGGGTCGCAGGCGGCCGGCCCTGCTTTAGGTTCTGCTCCAGAACAACCCC